GAGGAGTTTACTCTGGTATAAGCCTTTACCCATTGCCTCTAAAAACGAGGAAGAAGGGAGGAGAGAGAAGTTTGAGATATTTCTTTAAAGAGAGCACTAAACTTGGTAAAAGGACATAGCTTTCCTACCTTGCTCTCTGCCCCTCATGCCTCAGGATATCATAAATTTTTGATATCAATAAAACAGAATTTTTGATGAGCTGCTATTTTGCATTAAAGCAACTTTACATGCAAAGATTGCATAATAGGAAGCAAAATTGAATTTTGCCTCAGAACAAGTTCTTATTATTAATTTAAATGTTTTTATATATTTTAGCAGCAGCTTATCATTCTATATATTTAATTTCTTTCAAGTGAGAACACTTAGCATTGGTTTCCTTATCAAAACAAATCTTTTAAGAGAACATATGTATAAAGTGGAAATACAGTGTTTTGCATCTGTGCCTTAAGACAAACAGTGAAACTTTAAAAGGGGAAATAAAATATGGCAGAAGATAGATATCTCTAAAACCTAATAGCAGCCACTGTGGGACAGAAGGACATACCGCTTTCTTTGTGTGGAATGTTTTTTTTTCCCCCATCTTTACTGTGGCTGCAATGTTTATCCCAACTATATCATGACAAACCTGTAAGTACCATAAGCCCCCAGTGGAGCAATTCTGTTTAAGGCAAAGCATTTGTAGTGCGTTAGGTCTCAAATATAGCGCAATCCATTTTCTAGCACTTCCATACAACATGATGAGCAGGACCAGCTCACAAATATAAGGAGTATCTTCCCTCTTCTGGATGCAATAGCAGAAAACCGTTTTGTAGTGCTTCATGCTGTGTTCAAAATTCACTGTTAAGAGACACCATTTAAAAAGCACAAAAAGGCAGCACCGAAAGCTCTTTTTCCCCCCTCTTCTTCTTCTCCTTCTTCTTCTTCTCCTTCTTACATAAAACAAAAGTCCAATGTGGGATCTTAAGAGACCGCTGCATGCTACATTACTGAACACTCTAGGCAGGATTATGCAATAAGCTATTTAGAGTGTGTGTGTGTGCGCGCGTGTTAACCTCAGATTTACTGTAATCTTAACAGAGTGAAACATAATGATTTAAAAAAAAAAGTGAAACTTGCTCAAATAAGGCGCAAACTTGCCATTTCCCCCTCGATGGCTGTGGAAGCGCTCTTTCCATCGTCTAAGGACGAGATCAGAAATTAAAAAAAATAATAATAATAGTATTAAAAGAGGAAAAAAACAGAGGCACCCACTGAGCACAGCGGCGGCAGGGGAGGATGCTGGCAGGCCGGCGGCGCGGGCGCGGAGCCG